AATGGCCTGGGTTGGAAGGGACCTTAAACATCCTCCAGTTTCATTCCCCTGCCATGGGCAGGGAACCTTCCACTATCCCAGGTTGTTCAGAGCTCCACCCATTCCTTGACAGAAGCCCTTGGTAGCAGGAGGGAGTACCCCACTGGAATCCCCTTGTGATCCTACACATGCGTCCTCTTTCCAGGGTGCTGTGTCAATCCAGTGGGAACAGGGACACTTGGTACAGGGAAGGATTTGGCTTCAATGTCATAGAGGACGAGCAGTATCCATATTATCATCTTTTGGCTCAGGTAGCCCAGGGACTTGTCACTTCAAAGTGGGGCCCTCAAAGGGGACTTGGTAATCTTTATTTTCCCAAAACTTCAGCTGTCAAATTCAGATTATTTTTTTTAAATGAGATGAGATTTTTGGCTTAGGTTCCAGTTAAGCTAATGTGGAAAGCTACACATCTCTGGAGGCTTCTAGAAGCACTTCCAAGGACTGAAGTAAAATATTGAGAAAGCCAGAAGGGAACACTATACCCTCCTGTGGAATTTATCCTACTTTAATTTGGCTCTAGGCACCCAAAGCCACAAATTTGGCAATCAAGTAAGTGGGTGGCCAGTCCAACACTTACAGAGTAGCAGCCACTGACCTCAGTTAATTTTCATTCTACAGCTGATCCCTTTCTACACTCAGCCATTCCACCCACGTCCTGATTTTTATCAGGCCTCCAGTCTTCCAAAGAATCTCTCTCTGAGAGCGAAGCAGGACCGATTCTTCCCCTAGACTTAAATGTGTAAGTGAAACCAAAGCAGGCAAAAGGAACTGGGCACCAGTGGCATTTGCCTGCGGGGCTGGAGCCGAGGGCCTGTGTGCAGCAGGCCTGCTGAAGCATTAGCTCCATTTGCTTTTTGTCTCTTAGTCCCCCACACCTGCCTGCCATTTAGCTGCCTCTGAAGGCTGGCCAAGGGACATCAGATCAAATAATAAAAGCCACATTGAAGCAGTGTTTCAGCTGAAACAGTATGAGTGGAGGCGAGATGGGGCTTGGAAAAGGCTCCCTCTCAAAGAGCCCACACATACATGCGAGAAGGTCATTAACTCGTACCTTGTGCTATCTTTGCCGTCTCCGCTCCCTCTCTCTCAATTATTACATCAGAAGGAAATGAGAGAGCACTTTGCCAAATACTAATGGACTTGATGTTTTCATAATCTCAAGTGCACAACAATCAGAGCTGTTTATTTTCCAAAGAAGATGGGAACCAGGGGAGGAGGCTGAAGACTGTGCCACTCTGTTAAGGAGGGGAAAAAAACCCCTTAAGGTCAAGAACTGAGACTGAAAAACAAGCATCTAGGAACACTTTTGCTGTTGTTACAACTCTAGCACTCATTTCTGGGGAAAGGTAGTGAGAGTGGTTAGATACTGTCCTGTCCCCCTGGCCACTGCACAGCATCCGGCAGCAAGGGTCCAAGTTGGCAGAACACTTTAAAGTCCTACTCCAGCTTGAACTCAGATACTTTAGTGTGCTTTTTTATGTCTGAATGTAATGATACCACTACATATTTGTTTCTGAACAAGAAACAGTAGTGAAGAGTAGCGAGAACCATTTTTTTCTGAATGAAACACATGCTCATGAGACAAGATGTGACAGCTGACAGGAGGGGTCTCTGGAGCGACATGAAGGAGTCAGTTCTGTTTCTTGTTCTCAGTAGTCAGTTTCCCCTCAACTTGAGCCTGTGTGAAATCCCAGGTTTTGCTTACAAAGGGAGCTTAGTAGGATACTTGTGCATCCTTAGATCTATGTTGGTGACAAACACTGGAATTTCCCCCAGGAGCCAGCTAGGACTATAAGGCTTCTGTCCTGGAGTGACCAGGCTGTTCCCCTGGTAAAGGACAGGCATCCCCCTGCGGTATGAGGAACTATGGAGGGCATTTGGTTTTACTAAGTGAGCCCAAGTAATCAGCAGGAAGATAAGGACATTTTGTGTTCTTCTTTGCTGCTCAGATTTTGGAAGCTTCTGCCTTTGACAGGGGTTTTAAATTCTCAGTACCCTCTGGAGTGTGACAGACACCACTGACAGGAACCTGCAGAGGGACTGATGTGGGAATGACAACGCAGTCACACCAAAACTGACTTATCAAAGGATGCCCCAAGAGTGTCCTCCATTCTCACGCATCACCTTTCAAAGATCATAACCAGAACAAAGGCTTTGTATAATTTGTGAGTCTTTGGGCTGAACTGTGGCTTAACAACTTTCCTAGTGCATGCAGGTACTTACTGATGCCTGTGATCCAATCCCACTAACCGTCAGCCATTTGTCCAGACAGGCAAATATTCTGGGCCTTTAACTGGGTTAAGAAGCAAAAAGGGCTCTTAACTACCACTGTTCAAGTATTTTTCACCCCCTTAGCAGTTAAATTCCAGGCACCTTCTATATCCATGCTGGTGTTGTGTATAAGATCAGAAGTTTTCCCGGTAGTAAAATAAAGGGCTGCTTCTCTGAGGAATGAACATAACAAATGTCAAGCAGGGAAAGTTTCTGGACCCCATGTTAAAAATCAAAAGGCTGTTTCTAAATGGTGGACTGGACAGGAGCCGGGGCAGTGGAGGAGAGGAGCGGGTGCCGCTCCTGTGCCGTCAGCTCCCGGGAGGTGTCGCCGCAGCCCAAGGCTCGAGGCACCAGGACACACGGGCTGTGTCCTCACATGCTGTGTCCCCACTGCCCCAGGACACTGGCTGAGGGGACACCTCAACCCCAGGTGGCAGAACCAGACTCCACTGACACCTCCTGTGTGATGCTCTGGCAGCAGCAGGGCTGAGGTCCCCCATTGCCAGTGCTCCCTGTACTCACCTGGGGCTTCACCTGCAGCAGGGCTGAGGGCAAGGGGCTCTCCCTGCTGCTGGCTGGGCTATCATCCGTGGGTGACCTTTGTGCTAAAGCCTAATAAATGTTCAAAACTAGAGGGATTTTGGATTTGGTCTAACAAAAAACATGGAGATTATGCATACAGAGAGATCTGATACAGAGCTGGTTTACTTCTATTAAAGAAGACATTTTTTAAGAGGCTTTCACTGAAGACATGGTTGGTGTAGAGTACTGGGACTGTGTCTTCACACTGGAAGGCAGTATTGGGCATCTTAGGCACCATAAAATTAACTTGATTTTTGGGCATCTTAAGTGCCATTAGACTTGAATGAGAAATATATGCAGCACTTGTTTGTGGTCATCAGAGGTACTCTTTTGTTGTACTTGAAAATACAGCAGCCAGTGCAACAGAGGCTCAGCACTGGCTGGTCTGGTGGGGGTTACAAAATAGAAACTGGGCACCACTGGACAATGTAGTGTGGGGACATGTAGCCACACACACCAGACTGAGATGTTTTCTGTACACCTCTGATGCAGGAATATTTTGGCACCAAGCTTTAAACTTGTATGATATCTCAAACTTATATTGATTATAATTTGGCATACAGGAAGGGACTAACGTAGCTGAGATGGAAGTGATTATTATCCCTCACACAAAATTTAACTGGAATATTGAATAGGGATAAACTTCCTGTGTCACTATCAGAAAAAGGAAACATCTCAGAATGCAGAGGCCATACTTAGTGGGAGGGAAGTTAAATAAACCCCAAAGAATCCAAGAATACTAACACAATCCCAAACCACTGGGGAGTTACTCTAATCCTTCGGAGTTGAGAGCTGGAAATGTACCTCATCTATGAAGTACATCATGAGCAGGAAGTCCATCCTCCAAAAGGAATCAGATGCCCTATGGTCCATATGGGTCCTCCTCGTGTACTCGCTTCTGTTCTACTCCTTAGAATCTTATGGAAATCTTTTATTCAGTGAAATCAGTCTTCTCCCACTCCCTAGTGGAGTGTTCCTTCAGTCACAACTAAATGTTTCTTTACAATTCCCACTAAAAAGATTGTGTTAATGACAAGGAGAGGCAGATGCAATCATCAAGGGCTAGATACATGGGCAGCAAACAGGCTTACAGGCAGATGTGTGCAAAAATACCTGAGAACTGGGCCTTCCCACACCTGCTCTGGATCTGTTCTCCCCCTGCCTCTGGTCTCAGGTAACCCAGCAATGTTAGAGGGTTTTCCCCATCAGTCTCTAACACTGTTTGTCCTTTGCACCTACTGGTGACCCCTTCAACCCACCTTGTTTGCTGTTTTCAGATTCCTCCTAGGTTTTTCTTGATGCACCATTCAGTAGTTCTCCTTCTAGGAGTTACACTTGCATTATTAGTGCTCTGAGCTTCCTATTAACTTTGCCCCCATTTTTTTCCTCTCTTAAGCATTTAAGTACATAGGTCAGGCAGATACTTGTCTCACTTTAAGCAGTGGCCAAGGGCTATTTGATGATTTCGGTTTATACAGTGAACACTGACTGCCTAAGTACCTGTGATACATGGTAAAAGCACAAATTCTTCTGTCAGAAACAGGTTTGTGATTAAAACAAATGAATGTACACTCAAAGTTTTCCTCAGTGCTAGCCAGATGAAAGCTGTCCAGCTCAAATAAGCCAGCTTCTACCTCTCAAAACTTTCCTTCTCCTTTGTAGAGAGTGTGGAGTGTTAGTTTCTTGTTAAACCTTTTATCAGAATCAGCAGTGAGGGACAGTGGTGTGGTTTTTAGTCCTTTTGTCTCCATCTACTTAAGATCACAGTGGATTTTTTTACATGTTAGAATTTTCCTCCTAAAACTTCTCAAGGCCGGAGAACTTGAATTACTGAAAGATCACTGAGTGATTACTGCCCCTCACTCAGGACAATTATGTAGCCCTTAAAACCTTGTTTACACTGTTTTATTTGGGTTTTTTCACATTGCATCCTCTCCACTGTAAATCTGTGTCTATGTAAAGATGCCCTAGAAAGGGACCAACTTCATAGGTCTCAATGCGGTGATAAAAAAAGGTTAAACTTGTAAGCAAACAATGTAATTTCTCTTAGCATTAAACGATTCTCTCCCCACTCAGATGGTCAGATACCTGTACCCCTTTCTTACCACGTTGCTGGGCAGTGCAGGATTCTCCTGTTTGCTGGGACTCTACAGGCTGTACCTCCACATGTGGTCTTCCTGCATCATGGGATTGAAGGGGAAAGAGGGGAAGGGCTGATCCAGCTGTAGGACACTGAAGTTGTATCCATAAGCTACTCCTGGACTGGAAAACAGAAGTTAGGGTGCCTTAGAACACGAATGGCCTATTAGAAAATACTACTCTCAAGAGAGGAGAATATTATTTTCAATAGTTATCCCTCACCTGCAAGCTCTGGAGTTTGATAGATTTTAATTCAAATACTTCTAATGAAGTTACACTCCTGGGTGAATAAGGCCCACAGAAAGACTGTCTTTCTCCAAAACGTGTCAGTACAAGAGTGGAAATGAGGAAGAGAGGCAATGATAGCTAAAGATGTAAAAGGAAAATGTGTGGTGGAAGAAATGTAGGCAAATACTCTGCAGCCTTTTGACAGCTTTGGAACAGTGTTGTCCAGCTGCAGCATCATCCATCAGAAAAAATATCTGAAGGTCACATTTTCAAGCCTCCCAGAGCACTTGAATCTAGGGCAAGTGTTATGGGGACAGATCCAGGTCTGCTACTCTGCATGGCATTCTTCCTTTTGTGCATCACCATGGTAAACAGAGAGGGTTGCCAGGAGCCTGGATGCATTGTTTGTGTCAGTCCCTCATCCCCTCTCCCCCTCCTTCCCCAAATGCTTTCTCGTTGATTAGTTACTGAGTAGAAGGGGCTCCAGTTACCATGCAGCCTGCCGTCCCTCCTCATTTTATTGGACTAATATCCCACCTGCAATGATAAGGTTTAAACTTGTTTAATCTCCCAGCTTAGCTGTGGTGTTTTAATATTTTTAAAACGGTTGTTTCAGAAAAAGGGGGATTTAAACAGGTTTTGAATAAATAATAAAAGCCCTTCTCACAGGTTGCAATGCAGGCTGGGAGGCTTGAACCATTTTCATCAGGTCAGATTTCACATTGGGTTATCCCAAGGTGGCCTGACTTTGTGGCTACAGATTTACAATGGAACAGTCAGATGCAAAACAGTTTATGGAAGAGAAACTGCTTTAATAATGCATTTCCTGCTCAGCAAACAGCAGATACAATGACATTCATAGGGAATGGGAGAGTGAACAAAGTCTCAGAGGAAAGAAACCAGTTTCTCCCCAGAGTTTAATAACTTTTTTTGCTCCTACAATATATTTGGGGAGATAAAGAGACATCAGAATGCACAGCTTTGAAGTGAGAAAAAAGACAGGTTTGCACATCTCAGGCTTGATAACCTGGAGCTGCATCTGCATTGTTTCAAATCTAAGGGAAGGGAAAGAGGTTCTCATTTCATGGTGAAACTTCACTGGCATAAACATGGCTCTTCAATGACATAAACAAGGCTCTTTGTCTGGAATAATCTGGATAAAGTGCCATGTGTTGATGTGTAGAAAACCTTGGTTTGTCTCTCACTCTTTGTTCCCAGGACTGGGAATGCTGTTTTCAGCCTCAAGAGGAGCACTGACAAGCTCCTGACTTCTCAGAGCCAAGCTGAAGTTGTAACACTAGGTCTTCAGGAGAGTCTTTGCTCTCTCAGTCCAAGCCATTGGGATGTGCATCAGGCTTCCAGGAGCACATGTGTAGGACCGGGATTGTAAAGCCAGAAAAACAAGGTGAGACTTCTCTAGCTTTGTTCAAGACTTTTCGTGCACACTTAGGCACAATTTGTGTGGAAATTGGAGTAAAATAAAGCACAGTAACTAAAGCAGGGGTGGCAAAAGGCTGCTAGAAAGGAGCCCACTGATCCATGGCTCAGTTCCAGAGGAGCCCAAGGAGCACCAGTTGAATGATCTCGGTGCTGTCCAGTTCTTTTCCTACGGCTGCAGAAAAGAGAAGGTGGGCACAGAGCTGTTTTGTACAAATACTGTTTATATTATTTCTGTCAAAAAAGAGTAATTCAAAGTGATACCAGAAGTGAACTTGGCTGTGGTCATCTTCAAGTGAAGGGGGAGCCATTGTGTCTCAAAGATGGGTTATGCCAAGCTCTGAGCTTGCACAGATGAATTTGCAAGTGCAGCTCATAAACAGATTAGCTCTGAGTAGCTCAGTTCCCCCTGCCACTCCAGATGGGCTCCTTCCTAACCTGGTGGAGAAGGAGAGAGGGAACCCAAATAACTTTGGGGTGGCAAGGAGGACAGGGAAGAGGATAATGCCTTCATTGGTGGATAAACTCCTCTCTGACATAGCTAAAATTACCTTTGAGCTCCTAGCTCCCCCAGGAAGCTTTTATGGGCAAAACAGCAAATAAGAGCAATTTACTTCACAGCATATAATCATATTTCCCGTATTCTCCTCTATTTGACATAACCACAGGGCAAAAACATGTAAAATCTAGATGAGATTGGGTAAATACATAATAATAACAAACCGTTGCCTCCATTACACCTTCTATTTGAGGGAAAAGAGGCTGTTTCAGCATGATTTCAAGCACTATGCTAGTTTTGTATCACCTTGAAATAGTGAAGTATTATCCCTATCTTTTTTAGCAATGCCATAGAAGTCAAGTAATAACTTGCTACACACACTGCTCACTCTGTGAGAAGCCCTGTGGGCACAACCTAAATACCCTCAACTGCAGTTGTCTGCCTCGACATAAAAGCATCCTTCCTCAGCAAACCAAACAAACCCCACACCTAAATTCTTTATGGAAAGATGTGATATTGCAGGCTGAAGGTGATGTATAACATAGAAAAGATTTTTTTAAAAAGCAAGAGTGGAACAGTGAAATTTGGACTCAATTTTTTTACTAAAATGAAAGCTGCGAAAGAGCTGAATCTGTCAATGAAAAGATATTCAGATTACTTTTAGGACCCTTAAAGGGGTGGGGCTTAAAACATCAATATTAAAGTGGATCTTGAATGTCAGGACAAGCAAACATCCTTCCATAGGTTCGGAATATTACAAAAGAGAGCCATCCATCTCTCTGGTCATCTCATGTGCATGGAAAAAACCCTTTCTTAGAGGGCCCTGTGCTAAGTAATGAATTTGTTTTTCAGTTCCTTGAATGTCAGTTTTTACTTGAAGGGTACCGAAGGGCAAACATACAGAGTTCAAACTTGTTTAGGAATGAGCTGGAGTTTGGTTTTAGTAAAAGAAAGGTCTGGGCAAGTGTTATTTGGCTTTTAGCTGTAACATCACTAAATCAGACCACACTGCAGGAGAGCCCTGTAGTTAGTCTGCCACTAGATACCTGTCTGAATACAAATCACTCCTGCTAATTGCCAATAAAACAAAGATCAGTATCATATTTATTACATGTGACTTTTCTGAGGCAAAATTTCACACAACAGCACAGGCTACTGTGGTACTTTCATCTGTTCTTCCACAAGGTTTTATTTTCAGTTTTTCAGAGTATACTCATCGTAGTTGTCTGGTTTCAGGTCATACAAATAAAGACAGATAGTGGGGTTTTTGTTTTGTAGGTTATGTTTTTAGTTTGGTTCCCTGCTATATGGCTACTGCTGAGCTATGCAACAAGAACCTCACTGCAGGACAATCCCAGGTGAATACCACTTCTGATGCTCACATGTATGATGGACACAGTCTTAGCCACAGAAACTAGAGATCAGTTCAACTTGTGGGAATTGGAATCTGCACAAGTGGGTCTAGAACGCTTCCAGTCTGGTCTGTAAACTGTTTAGCAGGAGCCAGCGTGGCTCAAAACAAAAAGGGAGCAAACCCAACAGAAACAGCCATTTGTGAAGCAGTAATTACTCCTTGTTTAAGTGGAAGGTCACTGGAGGAAAGCAGTGTCTAGAATTGGAAAAGTGACAAGTGCTGTTCACTGAAGTACTGCGGCAGATTTTTTCTGGCAGTTGTTCGTACTTGGGGTACCTGGCTTTGGCCAAGGCTTTGTTGTGCTGGCTGACTGTTTGTGGGGCAGCAGTACAGGCTGAACCACTGATACAGCTGCCTGGAAAGGTTAATTTGAACCAAAAATAAAGTTAATTGCTTCAGCTGATGATCCAGCCATGTGAATCACTGTACATACATGTAATACAGCTGATTTCCAGCAGCTCAGATAAGCAGCTTGGAGTAATGGGATGGAGGAATCCAGAGAAAGATCTGCTTCACAGGAGTTTGCTGATGGTGGAAGGATGCTGTGGATGTACCCTTTTAATTTTTAGAGATTTGATCTGCAAATCTCATACTTCAGGCGTAAATCCTATTCACAAAGATCTTGCAAGATATTTGTAACAAAGAGCCAAGACTTAAGCTTCTGCATTAGAAGAGCACTTTTTTTCAGATTTCATATTTAAAAATACATTAGAAACAAAAGTATAGTTTTTCAGGTAAAACTAGCCCAGTGCCCTATGTGTCAGATGGTCTGCATTGTTTTCAAGGAAGCAGCTGTTCCCTGCCAGCCCTCAGTGTCCTCAGGTGCAGGACATACATATAATTTGCTCTTATACCTCAATCAGTGAACAAGCAGAAAATAGGACTAAATTAATTTCTCTCGTTCCTTTCCCCTCTGTCCTATTTTTTACAAGAGCCTTTTAAAAATGTTGCTTACTATATGATTATGCACAGCAGGGGTTTGTAACAACCTCATCTTAACTCAACTACCTCTGCCCTTGCTGTGGAATGATTAGTTGCCTTGGCAATTTTCTCCATGTGGTGCTCAGGAGGTACAATTACAGTGCTTTTCTCGGTAGTGATCCTCTTAGCTCCCTTTCTTAGGAGTTCATGATAAGGAGACACAAAATTATATATATAATGGATTTTATTGCTCCAGCCTTCTGTCTCCTTCAGTCCTGAAGGAAGCAAATCTGCACTATCTAAACCTGTTTGCTCTGTAGCAAGGAGAAAAAACCCCTGTTTGTGTAGGATGAAGGACTGTGTTAGCTGGAGGTCACAACCAGATGGGTCAAGCCACCTGAGGTGATAACTCTGAGTCCCACATAAACCCTCAGGATTGGAGCAAGAGCTTTTTGGGGCCACTCTCCAGTGGGAAGGGAGCATTGTTCTGTATTACATTCCATAGGCCTCAACTCAAATGTGCTGTCTTTGCAAGTGAAATGATGGCAACTTGAACTGCTGGCTCTGCAAACTCAGGCTAAATGAAGATGAGCAGGACTTCACACTGAAATGGGAGGGGGAACT